GGCGAGACTCATGCTCTCGCAGTGGGAGCATGACGTCTCAGTGAGTGCGGCTTCTGCATGGGATTTCCCCAGACATCGCACGTATTCACTGTGCCTGTCATCAGCCTGCAGTGGTGTCCTGCACGAGCCACAGCCGTGACGCGACATTTGCAACAACGTCACAGGAAATTTGCTCTTTTTTGTTACCATAAGCAGGAAAGTGTCAACACAAGCGCTCTGCAGACGGCTCGTGAGCGAAGCACTGACCGGGGCTGCCTTGAGAGCGACGCGTGAACAGAGCTGCTTGAGGCGGCGATCTGATCCGGTGCTGCAAAGCGGCGCTTTGATATTCTTGTTTGCGGTTGTACACTATCTGTCAGCGCATGTAAGCGCGCATACAGCGGTTGTGGACTGTACCATTGTGAGTGCCTGTAAAAAATATCCTGTATAAGCTTGTTTTGTACAATATAAAAAAATATATAGAATACACTAACTTTATAAATTACCCTAGAATAACAATGTATGTGAGTGAGTTTCCCCAGCGTTCACCTATTTTGCTATAATAATGGTACGTTCCTGTTTTGAGTCACTATACAGGAGTGCACACTCATGTTACTGCATGCATGATCGCCTGAAGAGAGAATGGCTAGGTTTCTGAACCGTAATATGAGGACTTTTTTGGCCACACAGTTCAGGATGTCGTCCGACCAGGTAGATATGTACAGTATGAAAAATATTTTTGTCTTTCTTCAGCCTACGAAAGAAAAAATAAAATGACTTTACCTGTAGCACGCAGTGTCAGTCTGTTACCATGTATTTCGTCACACGTGTTTGTTTACTAAATACGTTATGTTGTTTTAACGTACAGCGTTGATTACAAGTAGCTATTAACCGTTTTTACGCAATAACACAACTGGAGCGCTTTCAGTATGCCCTTGTGTTGTGACCATAGACTGTATAGGTTGTGACGCCTTTGTTTACATTCAGGATAATTATCCATTATTTGAGCATTCAACTGCAAACTCTCTGGAGCAGTACAGCACATACTTTATACATATACATAATACATGCATACACACACACATACCTCAAAGAATTGATTAATTTGTTCATGTCAATCCATGGAGCAGTTACTATTTCCAGGTAGAGTACTAGAGTAATAAACTATTCTGTCTTGTGCAATCTGTCTCTCCCTCTGATAAAGCTAGGAGAACTGGGTAAAGGTGCTGGGAAAGGAGGCGGCGGTGGAGGTGCGGTGAGGGAGGCAGGAGGTGCGTTTGGCAAGAAACAGGCAGCTGAGGAGGAGATGTACTTCAAGTGAGTGGTTTTGCTTGATCCCATTGTGAATTTCATCGCTCATACTAGATCTCTACTGCTTATATGGCTATTAGCAAAATCAGCCCTCTCTCAATATTTGATTCTGCTATGTGCAGTTATAAAGCTCACACAGTGTTGTATGCACTGTTTTACTTTAGAAGGTTTTATTTGGAGTTATTTAACAATTTGAAGCCACTTAAAATGTTATTGCATGTCTTATTTCCTCCCTCTATCACCTTCACAGGAGAAAAGAGCAAGAACAATTGGCTGCTCTAAGAAGACACCACCAGGAAGAAATCGACCACCACAAAAAGGAAATTGAGAGATTACAACAGGAAATCAGTCGCCATGAGGGCAAAGTCAGAAAACTTAAACATGATGACTGAGACTGGTGAATCTAGACATTACATTTCATAAACAAATGTCCCACACGTTTCAAATGTGATTGAATAATTGTAGATGCTTTATTTTTATTAAGCATTTGTGATCTCTGCTGTCACTTATGAAAGCATGTTATAATACAGATATGACTGGAACACTGAAAATATTATGTGTATTAAATCAGTACACTTTCTCCTCTTGACAATAAACTTGAAATGGTGTCTCAAATATGAAATTGTGTTTTGGTATGAATAATATGTTTGCTGAACAAAGCCATCAATTCATTTGAGCACCCAATATTAATTTAAGTACCAATAATAAATATAAGCTACTTATAGTTACAGTATATAGAGCAAACTGTACCAAATAAAATAATGTTCAACCCTATTCCTGGAGGTCTCCTGCAACATACATTTTAGATCAGGGGTCACCAAACTCGGTCCTGGAGGGCCGGTGTCCTG